TGGGCGCCAGCCAGCCAGCCTGAGGCATCCCATGTGCGCCCACCTTGGCCAGCCGCCCGGGGGCCACCCCCCCAGGCAACCCCCGCGCCGCCCGCCCTGGGCCGCGCCACCCCCGCACGCCAGCTCAGCCCGGGTGACGCTGTGACGCTCTGTGCTTACCCCGTGGCCACCCCCTTAGGGCCACGCGATGGCCACCTTCCCTGGACATCCTAGGGCCACACCTAGTCGACGCACGAGGAGCGAGCTAGGTGTTCTACAGCCAGAGTGGTAGTGACTGGGGAAATAAAATGATTGTTGAGGATATAAGTAAACGTGAATACAATATTCATAGAGTAACAGTGTCTCAGGACTAGTGGAAATTCCAGTAAAAGCTGTGTTGTCCCATAGCCCTGCCAGGCTAGGGAAGCAGCTGAGAGACAGCTGTCTGCATTGACGTCCAGGTGACTGGTTGGGATGTACCTGGAGATGGATGTTGTACACGGTACCACACAAGTAGTTATATATAGTTATATATTGTGTGTAGACTGACTCGAGTATGTAACCGGTCAGTGTAGAGATTTACCATATAAGTGATCCAGCTGTCGATTCTATATAATCGTTCAGACTTGATTAATGCCATAGTGCCGCATGTTAATTATATCATTGCAGAGGTAGGCAGGCCAGTGTTGCAGGGATGTCAGTGGATACCCTGAGGTCTGTGTAGTTATGGATACATTTTTCTGGTGATATAATTTTCATTGATTATGTGTATGCCATTTCCATGTGTTTCATTTGCATGTTTTGTATGTACTGTGTTGTGTGGTGAGTCAGTAGATGAGATTGGTGACTGATTGCCCAATGATGTCATTAGCATGTGGGGTATGCTGCGGCATCATTATGCTGTAGGTTTGTGCAGTGTTGTTATCAGGTATACAATATTACTGCCCTAGGAACTGTGTTGAGGCTTTAAGGGGCCTCTTTGATTATTCAGGGGAATTCACAGTACTTAATGAGAGCAGGCAATTGATTTGTTAATTGCCTAATTAAGAGAATTAGTGCCAGCTGTCCGCGTAGCGACGATGCTTTATATTAATGTAAATTGTCTTGCTGAAGTAGTCGTGATTGATCACAGTAGTCCCTTGCAACGGTTGCAAGATTAGAGGGGGCAGTAATATTGGTATACTCTTGTTGTTGCTTAACTGTGTGTCATTACTGTGTGGGTACAGTAATTAACAAGTTGCAGTAGCCGCAACCGTATGTGGGTTATGCATTTTTGTTATGCATGCCATTGTAAGTGTGACCTATGTAACACTGGGGTTACTTTGTTTCTTTAAGTTGTGTTGAGGACTTAAGGATTCAGTGAGTTAATTAAAGGGGAATTAACTAGATAAGGGGTTGTTACGGACCCGAGTCCAGCGTTGGAGCACGGAGCAGTGACGACAGCGCCATCTGTGAGTCCGCTCCCAAAACCCACTCCAAATGGACGACGCCATCTAGTGGTGACAGGATAGGCCAGCAATAAGTGTTGAATTCCTGTCCTAGTTGACTCGCGACGTAGCCGCTGCTGACCTCTGGTGAGGTGGCGCTTAGACAGTGAACGCCATCTATGGAGTGAAGAGGTGGACGTTTCTGTCTAAGCTTGTGAGTGAAGCGTCCCAGTATTAATAACGTGTCTGATTGCAGAGTCGACCTGGGACTGCTGTGTTGGACGATGGACCAGTCTACCCAAGGTCTCCTACCTGTCTGCTGAAGAAGCTGTGAGCCATCCCTGGACGAACTCTGTTGAGAGTAATAGCCTGCCTGAGGAGTGGCAGTGTTGGGAATCGCCTTATCCGGGGTTGGCTGGTGGAGGAGACCACCCACTGGGGTGCTGTATGAGGAGAGTGACCAGCGAATCACACGAGGCTCCTGGCTAGGGCACGCAACCCTAAGTATCGGTCGTGGAGTGGCCTACACAGCGGAGCTGATCAGTACCTGCCAGCTACAGGCTGGATTGTGGTTGAAGGCCTCCACGACGAAGCACCCAGTGGGACTGTGATTTGGCTGGCCTGTGGCCAGGGAAGATTCGTCGTAGAGTTATCGTGGATGCATCGTGAACCACGGAAGCAGAGACCAAGGCTACCTAGGAGAAGCATCGCAGAGTGTTGAGCGTCTTCAGAGAGGGAGACCTCATTGTACATTGTGTAGTTATAATTCCCTTTTATGACTTTAAATTATGGTGGTGGAATGTATATATAAATTGAAATATTTGTATCCCTCCCCCTTTAGCTTTACTTGCATTACGGAACACACCCCTTGAAAGCCTCTACTAACTTGGGGCCGGATTCCAAAACTCTACTACCATCAGAGAAGAACCCGGTTGCGTCCCACTAGAGCCGTAACAGGGGTGCACATTTATTGTTGAGTGAGTGAGAGCTGTTATAGGAGAACAGTGTTGAGCTTGTGTGAGATACGTTTAGGGGTGCAATTAATTGTCCGTGTGACAACTAATTGACCACTCTAGCTAATTATGTATTAGCATCCTCATCATGAATTCACGTAGTGGGAGAGGATCTGTCAGTGTTTGTGCTAACGTAATTTGCTCGAGACTAATTACCTTTCTGGGGTAGAGCAATTAGTGGCTCATGATAATTAGTGGAGTAATTAACGTCTGGAGTCTTGAGGACTCAGATGACTCGGTAAAGCGAGGTCATGGAGCTAGCATAAATCGTTATATTAATCATATCTTGTCTGATGACAGTGGATTAATATGCACTTATGTTAATTAGGGGAGTAATTAACTCCTCTCCCGTGAATTCACAGCGTTCGATGAGACCTGCTTAGGCAGTGCGGAGTGAGACGTATTTATGTATGATTAATTATCGGTCCTGGTGACAGTTAATTAATTGCTCAGGGTTAATTAGGGTAATTAACACTCATTAAAGTAAAATTTGACATAGACTGTTGAGAAGCTACCAAGTTAGAGTAGGCTTAGTTAGCGTAACTCAATTGGGATGTAATTAGTGGTCCGTTTGACCTTAATTAAGAATTACTCACTGAATACTTGCAAGGAGTCAAGTGTGATGTAATATAAGAGAGACTTTGAGTTATTGTTAACAAGTTGACTTGTGTTAAAGGAAACAAGTGTTGATGATTAATGTAGAGTACCATCATGTTGTTGTCTAAGGGAGACAATTGTTTGTGATTAACGTAGTACTTTGTGGCTGACTGCTGTGTTCAGTCAATTAACGCAATTAACCACATAATCAATTTTGTAATTGATTAAGGCAATTCCTTTTGTTTGTCATCTGGTGACGAGAGTAAAGTAACTTAGGGATTACTGGAGCTGTGTCTCAGAATCCCACCTTGCCTGGCTTCGTTTACTGTTTACAGTGCAACTCCTTGCAGGGGGTTGCAAAGTGTTTACATTAGGTTGTGATAGGGGTAGTCACTGTTGGACTACCCGCCTAGTTACGGGGGGTCACTCCTGTTATGGTTGGAGGACCCTTAAGATTGTGATTATAGTATCTGTTACCGTGAAGCCGTGACAATATTGATTGCAAGCTTGTGTCATCAGAGGGCATCCATCATTGTTCAGTTAGTTCACTGGTCAGCCCGAAGTGTCAGCAAGATGGAGACTGCTGTCATTTCTCGAGGGGCTGCTGAATAGCTGTGTTGCAATTGCCACTGGATGGACATTAACGTAACAAGTCACTCTCTGTAGTGTAACTTAGTCTGTGATATTTTTTTGATTTGCAATATTGCGTCGTCAGTGGGCACACCTGTGTTCAGGTTAGTTCAGTATGCAGCCGCACAGCAAGGGTTGCTATTTATCTGTTTGTTATCGTGCCACTGGATGGACATTAACGTAATGTAAACTCGATAATGTAGTAGTTTAGTCTCTTGTTATTAATAAATTGTTATTTTATAGAAAACGGTCTTTGATGTCAACCCTTCAACCATTCTTTTCCACCCATGTTCTGCTTTATACGATTGAATGTTGATGTGATCTTTTGATATGACAGCTGTTCTTGGGAATTCGAATTCCAATTCATAGCGCCACATCATATATAAATATTTGATTGTGAGAACCCGTCGGTTACCCTTTATTAGTTTTAACGTCCTGTTTAACTAGGAGGAACCAGCGGCCCATGTGGACAGGTTTTCACCCTAGTGGTGGAAGCCTGGCGGTTTGCTCCCGCTTTTTCCTTTTTCTATTGGACTCATGCTTAACTGCCGTGAGCAGCCTTTAAACTTGTAGTCCACCTCCTAAGGGAGGTAGGCGTAGAAAAAAATCTCACAAGGGTGACGTACCTCACTGGTTCAACCATCTTTCCGCTCTTTACATTTGAACTTTTTGATGCATATTTATCGCCATTTGTATGGCGAAGTAAGGCTGGCCGGTGAGGGGTCTGGCTGACTCAGGCTGGCTCCCTCCTCCACCAAGCAAGTAGGGAAGTGGGATAAACTAGTAGGGGGCTAGTTTCACAAAATTTTGGTTGCTTATATTCATTGTTAGGGAGTTCTCTTGGTAATGTTGGAGCTTCAGTGTCATTTTTAAATCATGTAGTAGTCTGCTTTGCTACACATAGCTCTCTGAGTGCTTCCTTGGTGTTGAAAAAGATGAATAACTTTAACTGGAAAGTGTTCATAGACCATCACTCCCTAACTCTCTGAGGGGACCAGGTTCTGGCTCGTGATCCCCTGTAGGTAAACAGAACTCCACGACTGATAACACTAAGTAGTATGGCACTTACTTGGATACTTGGAGAGGGTTCTGGGATTTCTTCTGCTCCGTGAGCCCAACCTGAGGCCAGGCACTTAATCAGTATGATAGTAGCTTCAGAGAGCCTGCCGGGCTCATACAGAAACTGGCGTTTCATTACATTCAATGCTGTTTTTTCCTGTCATCAACTGCTCTTGTCACATCCAGACAATGTTTTATTGCATAAACTATTTTTTACTGCATTTAAAATGTTATAAAAAGGCAAATAGAAAATTAGCTAAAATACTAAATATAGAAAGTTTAAAAAGTAACATACCTCTGTTCGGATGACTGGGCTCTCCTTGCTATCTTGTTCAACATCTGAGTAATTTACAGACATCTTTGATGTTGGTGTCTTGTTGATCAGCAGTTTCACAGAAATGCTGTCAGATGATGATTCATCATCATAATTAGAAAAATCCTCATATCTATCTTCATCATGAAAATAAGAAGAAACCTCAATACTATCATCCTCCTCCTCCTTTAACTCTGGACTTGGAGCATCAACAAAAACGGGTTTAGATAATGGCTTCACATCCATTCTGTTCTTATAAAGGATGCTAGTACTGGCTTTTAGAAGTGTTAGATCTGCATAAAAAGATAAGAAGAAACTTAGTCACAAAATTTCATTCCCCATAACTACTATTTATTAACTTTAACCCACATCAGAGTTTACTCTAAAAAATGAGATTTTTAAATATACTGAATCCACACAAAATAGAACATGAAACAATGGATATCAATCAAATACAGCGTATGCCGAACTACAAGTCGATCTGGCGCATAGGTCGATCCCAAAAATTTAGAGGTGTAATTCAAATTTAGGCCTACATTCGCCACATAAAACGAACCCCCCAAAACAGGGCAGCACCACTTTCCCTGCCCCACTGTATGGAAAGAAAAAACTATGGTATGTCATAAATATACTGTACCTACAAATATTTCATGCATGAGGTAGGTGGTGTCAGTAGTTGTCATGGGAGGCAGGTGGTGTGTCAGTGGTTGTCATGGGAGGCAGGTGGTGTCAGTAGTTGTCATGGGAGGCAGGTGGTGTGTCAGTGGTTGTCATGGGAGGCAGGTGGTGTGTCAGTGGTTGTCATGGGAGGCAGGTGGTGTGTCAGTGGTTGTCATGGGAGGCAGGTGGTGTGTCAGTGGCTGTCATGGAAGGCAGGTGGTGTGTCAGTGGTTGTCATGGGAGGCAGGTGGTGTGTCAGTGGTTGTCATGGAAGGCAGGTGGTGTGTCGGTGGTTGTCATGGGAGGCAGGTGGTGTGTCAGTGGTTGTCATGGAAGGCAGGTGGTGTGTCAGTAGTTGTCATGGGAGGCAGGTGGTGTGTCAGTGGTTGTCATGGGAGGCAGGTGGTGTGTCAGTGGTTGTCATGGGAGGCAGGTGGTGTGTCAGTGGTTGTCATGGGAGGCAGGTGGTGTGTCAGGGGTTGTCATGGGAGGCAGGTGGTGTGTCGGTGGTTGTCATGGGAGGCAGGTGGTGTGTCAGTGGTTGTCAGGCAGGCAGGTGGTGTGTCAGTGGTTGTCATGGGAGGCAGGTGGTGTCAGTGGTTGTCATGGAAGGCAGGTGGTGTTAGCAGTGGAAGTTCTCAGGGGAGCAGGTGGTGTCAGTTGTGAGGGTTGGTGTAGAGGAGGCAGGTGTTGACATGACTGCCTGCCAACCTCCCTCCCTGCCTGCCAGTTTCCCTCCCTGCCTACCAGTCTCCCTCCCTGCCTGCCAGTCTCCCTCCCTGCCTGCCAGTCTCCCTCCCTGCCTGCCAGTCTCCCTCCCTGCCTGCCAGTCTCCCTCCCTGCCTGCCAGTCTCCCTCCCTGCCTGTCAGTCTCTCTCCCTGCCTGCCAGTCTCCCTCCCTGCCTGCCAGTCTCCCTCCCTGCCTGTCAGTCTCCCTCCCTGCCTGCCAGTCTCCCTCCCTGCCTGCCAGTCTCTCTCCCTCCCTGCCTGTCTCTCTCCCTGCCTGCCAGTCTCCCTCCCTGCCTGCCAGTCTCCCTCCCTGCCTGTCAGTCTCCCTCCCTGCCTGCCAGTCTCTCTCCCTGCCTGCCAGTCTCTCTCCCTGCCTGCCAGTCTCCCTCCCTGCCTGCCAGTCTCTCTCCCTGCCTGCCAGTCTCCCTCCCTGCCTGCCAGTCTCCCTCCCTGCCTGCCAGTCTCTCTCCCTGCCTGCCAGTCTCTCTCTCTGCCTGCCAGTCTCCCTCCCTGCCTGTCAGTCTCCCTCCCTGCCTGCCAGTCTCCCTCCCTGCCTGCCAGTCTCTCTCTCTGCCTGTCAGTCTCCCTCCCTGCCTGCCAGTCTCTCTCCCTGCCTGCCAGTCTCCCTCCCTGCCTGCCAGTCTCCCTCCCTGCCTGTCAGTCTCCCTCCCTGCCTGCCAGTCTCCCTCCCTGCCTGCCAGTCTCCCTCCCTGCCTGCCAGTCTCCCTCCCTGCCTGCCAGTCTCTCTCCCTGCCTGCAAGTCTCCCTCCCTGCCAGTCTCCCTCCCTGCCTGCCAGTCTCCCTCCCTGCGTGCCAGTCTCCCTCCCTGCCTGCCAGTCTCCCTCCCTGCCTGCCAGTCTCCCTCCCTGCCTGCCAGTCTCCCTCCCTGCCTGCCAGTCTCCCTCCCTGCCTGCCAGTCTCCCTCCCTGCCAGTCTCCCTCCTTACCTGCCTCCTGCCCTTCCTTGGCTCCCTGCCTGCCTCTCTCCCCTAATCCTTTCCAGCCCTGCCTGCCTCCCTCCTATGCCTGCCTTCTTATCTCCTTTCCTCCCTCCCTGGCTTTCTCCCTCCCTCCTTGGCTTCCTCCCTCCCTCCCTTGCTCCCTAGGCTGCGAGAGTTATGGCAAGTGGTGTACAACAAATGTTAGGCCGGGCATTTCACTTGTTTATCTCTCAGTGGTTAGATTCATACTTTATATTCGGCAGACAAGTCGATTCCTGGTTTTGTTGACATTTTTAGGCTTCAATTTTCGACTTATATGCCGGCATATATGGTAAGTTTAGATTCTGAACACCTAGGTAAATACTAGTTTGGAGACAGGGCTCTCTATTTACATAAAAAATTATTAGGGAGGAGTGTAATATAATTGATTTGGGACTGGTGGATTGTTTCACGCACAGTTTATATTTGAATGGATATAAAAAGAAGCTTTCTCTTACACTGGTCTACAGCCAAAATGCTTCCGAAACAAATGAGGTTCATCTTGAATAATTCTGCATCACTGAGAATGGAAATTCTCAGTGACTTAAAAAAAAAAAATTTAAATTGTTGAGATTTACACTCCTGTGCACAAGAAAAAAAAATTCTAAAAAATTATTTCGTCTTCTAAAAATGTTAATTTGTGTTCCCTGAGCACGGGAAAAATAAAAAAAATCGTTGGCGACATATTTTGGGCACAATAGGCCAAGGAAGTCTGGCAAAAAGTAGGCGTTTACAGAGCGGTCGTCAGAGCCAGTCAGCGTCACCCGAGCTGACAAGTGAGAGTTGCCACAAAGATATTATTACCTAATTATTTCAATGTCTCTGATTGATTTTTTCTTAGTTTTTTTGCCGTAATATTATTCAATACTGTGTATTGTGATATATTTATATAATAAAAGCGGTGAATCATCGCTATACTCAGAAGTATGGTGTGCATATTAGTGATTCAATTACAGTATTATGTTTTCATAAAGCAATAAACAAATAGTTTTGTTGTTATTACACTCTATACACAGGCTATATATAAGTATCTGCATGTTTTGTTCACCATAACGAGCCACTACGTTGGAATTGTGAGTCGAAAAGCAACGAGGAGTGACCGCCACACACCAGCCAGTCACTCGTTGCCACTCCCTCAACAACGCCTCACTCTCCCACTTTCTCCTCCCACCATCCTGTTTTATATTTTATTCACAATATACAGACGTGATATATAAGTATCTATATGTTTTGTTCACCACAACTGTACAACTAAGCTGATATAGTTAGTTCAGGCACTAAGAGTCGTCGCTACACACAGTCCACTGGCGGCTGCCTCCCGCACTCATTCAAGTTCACACGCACTAAAATGTCTCACCCCAACAATACCGTTTGTGGTGTTATTTCACTATATACAGACATTATATATAAGTATCTATGTGTTTTGTTCACTACAACTGTACAACTAAGCTGATATAGTTAGTTCAGGCACTAAGAGTCGTCGCTACACACAGCTGATGGCTGCCTCCCTCACTCATTCAAGGTCACACGTACTAAATTTCTCCCCCAACAATACTGTTTGCAGTGTTAGTACACTATATACACATATTATATACAAGTACAGTATCTACATGTTGTATGCACCGTAACTGTACACCTAAGCTTGTAGGATGCCCAAAGAGCATAGTGGCCACCCTCTACACAGCGAGACAAATCATGCAGACGACGTCACCTCCGTCACCCAAATGGCTCCTCCAAACATAACCCTTTTGCTGTTATTACACTAGTACACACATTATATATAAGTACCTACATTTGTAATTACCTAAGTGTAGTTACAGGATGAGAGCTACGCTGGTGGTGTCCCGTCTTCCCAGCACTCTTTGTCATATAACGCTTTGAAACTACTGACGGTCTTGGCCTCCACCACCTTCTCACTTAACTTGTTCCAACCGTCTACCACTCTATTTGCGAAAGTGAATTTTCTTATATTTCTTCGGCATCTGTGTTTAGCTAGTTTAAATCTATGACCTCTTGTTCTTGAAATTCCAGGTCTCAGGAAGTCTTCCCTGTCGATTTTATCAATTCCTGTTACTATTTTGTATGTAGTGATCATATCACCTCTTTTTCTTCTGTCTTCTAGTTTTGGCATATTTAATGCTTCTAACCTCTCCTCGTAGCTCTTGCCCTTCAGTTCTGGGAGCCACTTAGTAGCATGTCTTTGCACCTTTTCCAGTTTGTTGATGTGCTTCTTAAGATATGGGCACCACACAACAGCTGCATATTCTAGCTTTGGCCTAACAAAAGTCATGAACAATTTCTTTAGTATATCGCCATCCATGTATTTAAATGCAATTCTGAAGTTAGAAAGCATAGCATAGGCTCCTTGCACAATATTCTTTATGTGGTCCTCAGGTGATAGTTTTCTATCTAGAACCACTCCTAGATCTCTTTCTTTATCAGAATTCTTTAAAGATTTCTCACATAATATATAGGTTGTGTGGGGTCTATGTTCTCCTATTCCACATTCCATAACATGACATTTATTAACATTAAATTCCATTTGCCAAGTGGTGCTCCATATACTTATTTTGTCCAGGTCTTCTTGAAGGGCATGACAGTCATCTAAATTTCTTATCCTTCCTATTATCTTAGCATCATCAGCAAACATGTTCATATAATTCTGTATACCAACTGGTAGATCATTTATGTACACAATAAACATCACTGGTGCAAGAACTGAACCCTGTGGTACTCCACTAGTGACATTTCTCCATTCTGATACATTGCCTCTGATTACTGCCCTCATTTTTCTATCAGTCAGAAAATTTTTCATCCATGATAGAAGCTTACCTGTCACCCCTCCAATATTTTCCAGTTTCCAGAACAACCTCTTATGTGGAACTCTGTCGAAAGCCTTTTTTAGGTCCAGATAGATGCAGTCAA